ATATATTCGCTGTATTCCACTGCAATCTTTATTCTGCTGTTTTATCCAAAGAGCCAAAAGATAGCAACCAAAACCAAGGCACAAAAGTGTGCATGGTTGATGGTTGTAAAAAGTGAACTGAACTGAACTTCTTTAGCTCAGATTTGACGATCCATCTGATCAGATGCATGATTCAGTGTAACTAAGGCGCATCTAATGGAAATCAGTCAGGCAACAGGTAAATGAAAATGAAGTCAAAATCATTTGCAAGCAGACCCCCTCCGAAACCCATCAAAAGCCCTCCGACAACGTCGACCGGAAACAGTAGCAGTAGAAATATAGTCATTGCAGCAACCAAATTTACGTTCGCGAGAAAACAGTTTATTTCTTCTGTCTTCTCTATTCACTCTGTTCGAAACCACCGATTGAACTGCATAGTGCCTTTGTCGTTTATACAGCAAATGAAGCGTGAACTCAAATTCTAGGAAGCACTGAACCGCTGTTTCGACCTGGTTCGGTCTATAAATGACAAAATTCACCAATGTAAACAGCTTTTCATTTTTACATCTGTATCAGCCACTCTTCACATGATATCCCACGTCGTCCAAGCAATGCACACTCATTCTGACATAAATTGTGACATCCTTATCTACTTGATAAATGCATAACTAACTGTATTAGACAGAAGAAGAAGCTACCGAAAGCGAGCTTGTTCGCTAGTCGTATTGTTCTGTCAATGTCACGATGGAAAGCCTTAGAGATATGTGGTCCTCGTTAGGGAGCACGCGAGGTGTACCCTGAGACTGTCTTGTCAATCCATGTGTTTCATCTATCCCCGACAGTCGCAGTCGGTCAACGAGGGAACCACGTGTATGTGTATGTGTCGACTTACTCGCATCCATGTGTTTCAAATTGTCCAAACGGCAAAATAGACCACAACGAGCCGGACATTGGAAATAACGAATGCCGTAAGCGGTTCCATCGTGTTTGCCTTTCGGACTGTCCAGAACCACACCTGTGTGCAAAACAAACAAACAAAACAAAACGGGGATTGAATTGGTGAACAGGTATCAACAACAACAACAACAACAACAAGAATAGCATAAACTGCTTAGCCGTGAGCCCGTGAACGTGGACAGAGGAGACATTCGCAACTACTGATTCGGTAAAATAATCCCAATTGATTCATTGTTCCGTTATTTATTTATTGAATATTCCCATCGTGACAAAAAGAAAACATTGCAGTGAACAAAGCTTGTTTTCGATAACTTCCTCTTCTGACTAATACATTTATTTATTTGGGGTTTAATATTATCAAATTAGTGTAGTGATCTGATATGATGAACAGGATTGTTTGATTGTGATCTTGTGGTGTGTGGTTTGGAAATGAAAAGGCAGAGTTTTTTGTTGTTGTGTGGTTGGGAAATGTTCACAGCCGGTGGATAGAGTGAGCTGTTCCATTTCCGGCCTGCACCCATGGGTCATGTCAAAGGTCATGGTCGTTTCGTTCGGCTGTGTCAGGTTGAGGCCAGGGTGAGCGAAGTGACTGAACGAATCGCTTTTGAGAACAACGGGATGGATTGAGTAGGCGAATAGTGACCGCCTAGGTTGTAGTAATGTGCTGTTGGCGGACAGAATTGGATGGATATGCTGGTACTTAGCAGATCAACTTGAATGCGTCGTCGTTTACTTGATGGTCTGTGTCTGCAAGGCGTCCTGCCACTGCACTTTTAATCGTTCATCAACGGCACCTTGCTACATTCGAGGCTATTAGTCTACTCAATCCGTCCATTTATTCTTAAAAGTGATTTATCCAGTCACTTCGCTCACTCTGGCCTCAACCTGACACAGCCGACCGAAACGACTGTGAACTTTGGCATGACCCATGGGAGCAGCAGACCGGTTGGGAACATTTCCCAACCGCACAACAACAGCAAAAGCACTGCCCTTTCATTTCCAAACCACACATCATAGGATTACAATCAACCAATCCTATTCATCACATCAGGACCATTATATTAGTTTAACAATTTTGAACTCTATTAGCCTGAGGAAGAAGTTATTGAAAACAAGATGTATTTATTTTTGATAATATTGTTTTGTGTGCTTTCTAATCTCGAAATCCGTTATTTCCCTTCGCATTTCATTCGATTCTGTGCTCAAAACAGGAGAAAAATAAACACTTCGCTAAATTGGAATCAACCGCATAGAGTGGGAAAAACAATACACATACACACAGAGTAATAGTCAACAAAGTTGTGGAAACGTGCGTATTCCCCCACAAAGCTACTGACAACCATAACGGACAAAATCGACTATCCTTCGTATTGAAAGAGAATATATAAAATATACTAAAGTGATATTGTGATTTGTGGACGATTCTGTG